CAGTGTGAGTTCTATGGCACGGCTCCCTCTGACCACAAGTCTCAGGAAGTTGGGAGTGAGATTAGGTAATTTGATTACTGAGCTGCTCTCTGTTCTCTTTGCTGGAAGCTCTGCCATGAAATAGCAAACAAAAGGGAACAGAGCGCCACCTCTGTGTGTAAAATAGTTTATTACAATAAATAAAACAAGGGATAAAAGGTACTCACAACCAAACGTTTTCATCAGGCTTTAACAACAAACGATCAGAATCAAGATGATTTTGATGAAGGGGGCTTGCAATCTCGTCAATCTTGGCTGACTGAGGTCGGTGGACGGTGATGTGACCGGAGGCTACCGTGTTACATAGTCGGGGGGATACCATGTTGGGTTAACAGACAGTGTGGCCTCTCGTTTGTTGTTAAAGCCTGATGAAAACGTTTGTTTGTGAGTACCTTTATCCCTTGTTTTATTTATTGTAATAAACAATTTTACACACGGATGTGGCGCTCTGTTCCCTTTTGTTTTCTATGTTCGTGGTGGAAGCCCCAGAGCCTTGGTTGAGCAGCCCCTCAAGTCTGTGTGAAAAACTGTGATAAACTGTTGAAAACTTTGAGTGTGCAACCAAGAGCCATTAGCGCCAAGAGCTAAAGAAAACTTTTTGTCTGTCATGAAATAGAAAAGCCCAGCCCCTACCAAGTTGGCTGCCTCTATGCAGAGACAAAGTGCAGACCAAGGTATAATAAGTATGTAATGGGGAAAGATCAACTGCAGGGAGACTACAGGCATAATTGGTGACTAGCCCTCTGCCTGCTCTTTTTTGAGCAGAGCTTTCAGAGTTCAGTTCCTCTGTTGAGGTTGTATTTAGGGGGCTGGTTATAAAAATTAAAAAAACAAAAAGGTAGCAAAATATGACAAAAGCTACTAGCCAATCAGACTCAGCCATCATTTTCCTAGAATATAAAACCTGATTGGTCACTATTGCAAATAACTCTGTTTTTGTTCCAATTCTTTAGGCTTTAGTATTGCTTTAAGGATAATTCGGCACGAACTTGTGGCAGGGTTATATTGTAATTCTTGTTAATTTGTTGCACGCATTCCTGGCAAGTTGTAGACTTGCAGAACACTTGCAGCACAAGTTCTAGTTGACACTTTTTGAATTTGTAGCAAATTTGCTTGGAAAGTCTACAGCAAGAGCCCTGTAGGTCTTAGCAAGAGCTCTGCAAATGTACAGTACTTTTGGAAAGCACATCGATCTGGAGACTTGCAATGCAGACTTGCTGTAATTGTGCAACAAAATTGTGAAGCTTGGCAAGTCTGCAATAGTTTAGCAAGTCATTTTTAAACTTGCAGCTCAATTGCTTGCTATCTGGGTTCACATATACTATAACTTAATTCACCTGATACAGTGAGGAGTAATTAGGCCCAGCCTACTTTAAAAATACAGCTCTGTACATGCAGTGATTTTCCTAACAAGGTTGAGTCAAAATTAGGCCACCATTGCTTTCTTGCTCATCTGTGACTTGCTCATCTACGTTTAAGCAAGCATAGGGGAGAGTAATCCATTCTGGAAAGTACTGCTTGTAGTATTTTTTTGGTGTGACTCATTCCCATTTTATGCACTCATGTACAAGATATTAGGGTATGTATTAGAGAGTTGCACAAAAGGCTTTGCTGAGATCCTGTCAGCTTCGAGTTGCACAGCCTAGAAAATACACATTGGGGGGAATTTATCAAAACTGGAGCAGCCAGAATCTGGAGCAGTTGCCCAAGCCAACCAGTGAAATAGAAGCTGATTGGTTGCAATGCAAATCTGCTCCAGATTTGGTCTGCTCCAGTTTTCGATAAATTCCCCCCATTGTGATTTTCAATCAAGAAAATTGCATCATACGCAAATATTTATCTGGCCTTCCTTTAAAACGGATAGGGCATTGTAGTGCAAGATCAAAGTACTTATCAAAATATTTTCACTTGTGTCCTTCTTTATAGCAGAAGATCCTGACCATTTCTATTCATAATGAAATCAATTTTAAGAAGCACATTTTGTGAATACAGGTAGAACTTTAAATTTAACATTGCAGTTGTTTGTAATATTAGAAAAGTGGATGCTTAAGCAAGTACAGTGGAGACAGCTGATAAGTAAATAACCATTTACATCAAAGTGAGGACCAAGTCCATTCAATATACGCAAGTTAAAGAAGAACTCTGGGCATAAATATTGTTAACCCTTGCAGTGGGGCTACCCATGGACTGCGAGGGTTAGGTGCTTGTTTTCATATAGGGACAAAAAATATAGATTTACTTATAAGTACTATGTAGTGTATAGGATGTGATTACTCACAGGACCCTTGGGGGGGGGAGGCTGAAAAGACCGGTCTAACATTTTCAGCACATGCCTGATGGAGGAAGCATTCAAGGGTTTACAGAGCTTCGTTTATATAATGAAGGGTGCAGCTTCGGGGTTCCAACAACGCTAGGAAGATAAGCCAATTCAAAAGTGTCGGTATAGTGCCGTTGGCCCGCATCCAAAACTAACACCATAAAACGTCAGCAGCATCATGTAACTTACTGATAATAATTAAGGCTAATTTAAAGAAACATACTGTTCATGCATACATACTGAAACCTTGCAAAAGAGGGTTTTTTAAAAATCATTTTGCAAAACTACCCTTGCAGTGGGACTGCATCCGGACTGCAAGGATTAAACTCTCGTTTATGTCTAGATTACCCGGATAAAGCAGTTTTCCAAGACCCCCCAATGTGCATCATGGGGTACAATGCAGAGTCCACATCCAAGGGACAGTGCACAAGCTGTAGCGTAGGGGAGATAAGAAGAGTGTCGACTGCCACGTGAGCAGGGATCAGTTAAGTAAAACTGCTTTACCCAGGTACCCTTGATCTAAACGAGCAAGTAACCCTTGCAGTGCACTGCTAGCTGTTTTTTTTCCCCCCGGAGATAGGCTTTAAGTTAGGAAAATATGAATTTAGGTTAATGTAGATAATGCAAAATAGTAATTATGCATGTTTATGCACAATTATGAAATAATATGTTTCCTGAAGAATGTATTGATTTTAGAAGTCACAGAAGCATCTTATTTCCATAACAATGCGACAGTCCAGACACTAATAACCAACTTTCAGTTCCAAACAAAAACAATTCCCATTTTGTGACTGTTCTACCTCTGCTGTCAGTATAGAAATACATCATAGAATGCAAGAATAGTTTTCATGGAACATACCTATGTTCCTTATATATTTAACAGATGTCAGTTCAACTTCATATTCAAGAAATGCCAACACTGCTTAGCAATTATGAAGATAAATCCTAAACACGCAATGTCAATTTAACACCTAGGGCCTAGAAGATTAGAGCAGTGATAAGTGCAGCTACGCTGAGCTTCACACCAGAGAGACTGAGATACGGAGGTTGATTATATTTCATGTAAGCTGTTCTGTTAAATTGGCAAGCAAATGATCATTTGAATACCTCAATCATTTAAACTGACCACGCACCTTAACATCGCATTGTACAATCTCATTTAGGTGCCCACAACTGTGCAGTTCACAAGTCTGCCTGTTTAGACACAAAATAATGAATTTGTAAGGCAAACCGTCGCGTTACCTAGCTTTGCTAAATCTGAAGGAAATTAAGTAGAGAGGGTACAATCAGATTGAAATGTGTAGGGCCCATTTTAGCATGATTACCAGCTTTTTTAAACTCTGTCTACACGTTTCAAAAATGAATCAGAATTCAGGCCAAAACAAACAGCTCAGCATTAGGAGTGATTAAGGGCTCATGCACATGGGCGCCTGTGCCCATACAACTTAGGGCTCGTTCTCACTAACTGGACAGTGTAACGTCACGGATAGTGTCTGCTGCGTGTGAGCCTTGGTGCAGGGCACTGGTTAATGGTTTCTTTATTTTATTTTGGAGTGTATATAGTGTACCGGCCCACACGCCAGCGCTTTACTTCGGTTTGCTCCAGTGCTCTGCAGAAAAATGCGGCATATCCGCATTTTACCTCTGCCCACTTTACCTCACATCACACCTGAGCAGTGGTGTGAATGGGGCACACCGATCAAATTGTATTCTATGTGCCCTATTAGTGACTAGTGTTAGTTCTGCGTAACTAAACGTCAATCACTGCTTTATTAGTGAATAGGCCCGTAAATCAACCATATTTTCCTGCCAGGGAGCCACAGGTGCTGTGTACAGCCTTCCATATAAGTCAATGGCTGTATACGGCTGTAGGTGGGTTTATGCCAGTACACCTGCACACAACTCTGGTAGCAGACTCTCTGTGTCCTGGGTTGTACGTTGGTACGGGTGCACAGAAGTACCAACATGTACATGGCTATAGCCGTGTAGAGCCATTTAATTATATGGAAGACAGCTGTGTCTCCCTGGTGGGTTAAATAAGGCCAAATTTACATTGTATAGGTGAGGGTGCCCATGTGCATGAGCCCTAATGTTTCGCTGTACATAACTCGCCTTTGTGAACGGATAGTAATTTAACAAATGGATGTCTGTCACCTAGCTCTTATTTGGTTTCACTTACACATCTTACAGCTTTCCTGAGATCAAACCAAGTGCTACAGACCCTGTTAATGATTATTATTATACAGGATTTATATAGCACCATCCGCTTGTGCCACGTATTAACAAATCATCTTCAACACCTTGCAGGTTTTATTGATAATTGGATCCATTGGAAATTAAAAAGGTCATATGAATTGATGATAAAGATCAACTAATAGAGATCTTGTAAATCACTATAACATACTATGGAGAAAACATTCTTATGTCTTGCAGGTGCCCAACCAGCTATGAGATAAAGTAGGAAATCCTCAGTCGGCAGCAAGCCCAGCACTAACTGCCCATCGTCCTAATCGGTGAGGACAGTTATGACCGAGGCTATAGCATCGGACGGTTAAGTATTACAGTTGGCGCAAACAGCTCAGGGGTTCAGGAGTCCACAGAAAGTAGAACATACTGTCGTAGTGAAAAACAACGAGGAACTCACCATTCTCCAGAGCCTGTGTCTTTTAACGCTGACAGATGTGGCTGTAACAATGATGTGAGAAACAGACACCATGAAACCAAAAATGATTGCCAGCAGGGTCCTAACAGGCAGCAAAGCATAGGACACAAACGTCACCAGCATGAGTTGCCACATTCCTTGATCTGATGAAGAGGGGGGCTCCAAGCCATAAGCTCCCAAGGAGAAAGGGCAACACAAAAAGGAAAAAGTGAAGCTGAACAGCAAGGTGAGCTTGACAATTTGCTGCAACTGGGTTACCTGGAGATATTTGACGTTGGTGACAATGAAGAGGGACACAAAAATAATACAGTGCACTGGATGTGACCCTTTAGAGATGGTCAAGCGAGGTCCGGACATGAGCTCCACCAAGGCTAAAGTCGCTGTCATGATAATTAAAACAGCCAGAGCCTTCAAGGTGGAGGTCTGCTCCAGCTTTAGGTTGTAATTCTGGAAGAGTGATTCCAGCTCTTTGCAGTCAAACTCGTCTTCGCATGCGATGGAATCCAGAGGGGGGGCGGGGGAGCAGTGGCACTTCTTCCTTCTGGTTTTGACTTTCTGAAACGGTATTTCCTCCATATCAGTGCCATTCATAAACTCGAGAAGAAATCGCGAAGTCCTTTCCTCCTGTTCATCCGAGCTGACAAGTGATCAAATGAGAGCTCATCAGCAGGGGCTGACAGCGATAGTGCCGGGATGAAGCTAGATTAGACTGTACCAACGTACTTGTGTGCATGCCCTAATCCACTGCACCTAGCTAGGCAGGGGGACTCACCAGCACGTACGTCAACTGGGCAAAAATAAAGGCAACCCTCACCTTGTACAGGAGCTCAAAATACAAATCAATCCATGGGCATATCAAGCTGCATGGATAAATGATCAGAGATGATTGCAATGTATAGGATGGCAGAAACAGAACGCAAATGATTGGTGCTGCTGCGGTGACTAGCAATGAACGGAGAATGCAGGAGAGAAAAGGAAGAACTAGGCGACAATGACAAAAATAAAGACTAGGTGCAAAAAAAGCTGGGAAATAGAATGAAAAGGTAATCCCCTTCCTACATCCAAGAGCATGTCACCGAGCGCTGGGTGCTTAGCGTCTGCGCACTAGATGCTGGAGAAGCCAGACACGTCTCTGCGATCTGAGCAGATTGACAAGCACAAAACACAGATTTGACAACATGACCACGTTTGAGTCTGCTTTGCAAACATCCTCCACTCCTCCTCCCTCCTCTCCTCTTTCTATATCTGGGCAGGCGCTTCCATTAGTACAGATTAGGCATTTACCTTAGGCGTCATAATGAAGTGGGAGGTACACACAGAGGTTTTGTGAAGGTAAGAAGTGCTGGTGTTTTCTAAAATATGGCATCCCAGGGCTGTGGATGTAGCTTTCTTGTCTATGAAAACTTCATCTGTGCTCCCTGGTGATGACATGATGTACACATGGTGCCTCCTGGTGCAGCAGATCTTTCACAGAGGTAACTGTATTCTGACTGTCTGCAGTGGAAGGAGAACAGGCAGCAGGATGCTCTCATTATCAGAATAAAACCCTTTTTTTATTTTAAGAGCAGAGGATTTCCACACTTATATTAGCTGATTCTTCTTATTAAAGTGGCACTAAAGTCAGGAGTTAAATCTCACAAATGCATTAAAGTACCCTAAAGGGGTCAGCTGGTTCTGCCTCTAGATAGGCAGAGCCAGCTGTCAATTAGCCAGCGGGGTGGAGCTCAACGGTATTGTCGGGATCCATCTGGGCTGTGGAGCGGCTCTACGCTCGTAGCTTATAGCAGCACATTCGCCTGTGTAGGCAAAAATCCTTGCACCGGCCCTGACTGTCTTTCCTTCTGGAGGGTCGGCTACTCTTGTTCCTCATGGCACCTGTGTGTTGCCAGTGCTGGGTTGCTTGCTTTTACTCACTGTATGTTTGCTTCTCTTGTGAGTATTGAGATTAACAAAAATGTAGCTTATTTGTGTATTACTCAGCTGTAGATCCTCAAATCATCTCTGAATTGGTGTCGACACTGACCTTTTGTTCCCCAAGGTCCCTGTGTGTTGTAAAGTAGCCACTGCTGCAAGCTCGCTCCCGTGATCTCATGTTTAGTTTACTAATTTGTATTGAGATTGTAGTCCATTACCACTCCAAGCTAACTCCCATGTTGGACTACAATCTCAATACAAAATTAGTAAACTAAACATGAGATTGTAGTGCATCACGGCAGTGAGTTCAGAGCGGTGGCTACTTTACAATACACAGGGACCATGGGGAACAAAAAGGAGCCACCCTCCAGAAGGAAGGACAGTGTCACCACCAATTCAGAGTTGGTTTGAGGATCTACAGCCGAGTGATACACAAATAAGCTACATTTTTGTTAAAGTACTTGAATGCATTTGTAAGATTTAACTCCTGATTTTAGCATTGTGACGATAATGGGGGTCTGAGTCTAAATATTAACCTCTTCATGACTGAGCTAGTTTTCAGGTTCTGTTCATAAATGACTGACACATTTTTTATATTTTTGTGTGTGATTCTTCCACAGCAGTAATATACTTTCTTACTAAATGTACCCACACATATTATATATTGTTTTTTAGAGGACAGATAGGGCTATATAATTGTATCACATATGTGTAGAATTCTTTTGTTCCCCAGTCAGAACAAATGCAGGCCTTCATTTAGTCTTTTGCCAGACATTCCACAGAACAGAGATCTCCTATCTGGCTGTGATCTTTTATTGCCCCCTAGCAGAAGTGAGTCCCAAAACTCCTAAGCCTTTTATAGCTGTCCCTAATTAACCTCCCTGGCGGTATGATTCTTTTGATTTTCGTTAATTTTCCGGCGCAATTTTTTTCGTTATTTTATTTTTTCCGAATTCCCTGCCGGTTCCGCCCCTGTGCGACGCGTACGCTCGCAAGGGACGGAACCCGGAAGACAGATGCCGGCGCCGGCCGGAGGATACCGCACGGCTCGAGGGACAAGGTAAGTAAATACTGTGGGATATTCCCGAGTGTAGCTCAGGGTATGGAGAAGTAACCCTGAGCTACACTCGGGAATACCGCCAAGGAGGTTAAAGGCATGGCACCAAGCACTCATCTATTACCAGTGGACAAGGTGATATAAACACGCAGTCTGGTAGAGGTGACCCCACTTTCACCCAAAGTTTATAAACCTGAGTTAAAAAATCAAGCTACATTTCATAATTTGGAATTGGGTGGGGATAGTGAAAAATAAAGGGTTATCATCCTCTTCTCCAAGAGATGGCTCTTGTCGTTTTTGAAAACATCAAGGAGGAACTAAGAAGTCTTAACATTGCGGAACAGTTCCCCTTTAATCTCTGGACATTATCTGCTGAAAGCTTGCTGGAAGAAGAGCCCTGCAGACTTCTTCTTTGCTTATTGAACTCTTAACTCTGCTAGAAGTCCTAAAACCAGGACTGTTGAATATTCTCCTTTTATTTTGCTGTTGTATATATGGTTTGTCTCTTTTTATTAAAATAGTTTTCTGTATATTTTTCTGCACCGTTTCTTTTATTAAAGGACGATCTTAAAAATCGTTAAGCTTATCTCTACGCTCTAAATACGAACTTAAAGTATCCTTGCCTCTGTGAAGAGCGCTACTGTATAGTGAATCCTGTCATATCCCTGTCTGAGAGGAGAGCGGTATCATGGGCATTTGCTGGGTACGGTTTGTATTCCGTTACGAAAAACACATGGTGGCAGTGAACATTTGTGGGTAAAGTGTTAACTGTTGAGTTAACCAACCCTGGTGACAATCGCTCTCAGTCTTCTGGCCTGAGATTGTGTCCTGCGAGCTGGGAAGTCTCTGTGCAGGGTGAGGTTGAGAGTGGTATCGCCACGTCCTTGTGACGCTCATGCTCGGTTCAGACTTGTGTATAGTGACGTGGGATTGGCTTATAGCAGGTTCGGGCCGGGCGTACGTCAAAGCATCACTTTAATTTTATTTATTTATCAAATCATCTCTGAATTGGTGCTAACATTGTCTTTCCTTCTGGAGGGTGGCTAGTTTTGTTCCCCATGGTGCCTATGTGTTGTAAAGTACCCATCACTCCAAGCTTGCTCCCGTGATGGACTACAATCTCACATTTAGTTCACTAAGGCAGATTGCGCGCATTTAGTTTATGTTTTACTTTATCGCATTTTTATTTTTTACATTTTTATCTATTTACATTTTTAATTATTTATTATTTTTTACTTTACTACGGGCATCGGGCGATAGAAATTCCACACTCCTGCTACAGAAGGAAGGACAGAGTCAGCACCAATTCAGAGATGATTTCAGGATCTGCAGCTGAGTGATACACAAATAAGATACATTTCTGTTAACAGTTAGGCTGGGTTCACACCTAGGCGTACCTAATATGCGCATTTCCCGCGCGTTTTTACCGCGACTCGCTGTAAAAAAAAACGTGCGACAAATGCGCGTTTCCGATGGCTATCCGGCTGTATCCTAATAGATACGGGTGGCAAATACTCCCCAAAGAAGCTCCTGTACTTCTTCTTAAGTATATATATAATATCTATATAGATCTATAT